TTTTTTTTTGTTTATTTTTGTGATCGATTAAAATGTCGATGCTAAACAATTTTATAAGATTTCAATGACGTTTATGTAGTTTCATCAAGTAAATGCAAACAACACTTAAACGATTATATGTATACTTTTCTTACTCCTCATTACACGCAGACATTCACAATGTAAACATATTCTTAAGTAGTTTTATTATCGTAAAGAAAAAAATCTTTTATTTTTATAAATCAAAATTATTTTATTTATTAACAATACTATAAAAATCTATTGTAACTGTATCTTTTTCTCTTAAAAGAATGTACAAATGAACGTGAGTATTACATATCCGGTTCTGTATTGTTCTCTTATGATTGCCCCCTTCTGTTGTTGTATTGTATGACCTTTACATATTGCTGTCTTTCATTCTCATTCATTCACTTCTTTTTATCTATTTCTCTGTTCCATCTCATTCTTTTTGCCTTCATACTAATCAGAGCCTTTTGTATTGTGAATAGAGCATGATGGAACCGTTTGTCATAATGGCATTCATATATTATATTAGATCAGTTATGCCTTTCGCATATGTATTTATATATAAATACAAACCAACCACATCGACTCAATGCAACTGAACCTACCAGTTGTGTCAACAATTCTTTTACTGATCAATTCCTTACGTTCCCATTGTTCTTTCTCTCTCTCTCTCTCTCTCTCTCTCACATTCAGTATATTTATTAGAATGAATAGCATACTCGGATATCCGAGTTCATTCTTTTATGTTTCTTCATCGTATGTCAGAGAAGTATGTCTTTTTTCTATCAAGATGATTATTTGTTATTGTTTAAGCATTATGTCTTTTTAACGATCAAAATTCTTTTGAAGCTTCTTATAAGTATTGAACTATTTTTTAATTCATAATAATTAGAAGTTTTGTAATTTAGACAATATATATTTTTTGAATAAATAGCATTATTGAAGGATGATGTTATCTATTGTACTTAATTTATGTATTGGTAATTTAACGTTATAGTTGATAACATGTTGTTTGTATTACAACATATTATGTATGCTCGGATAATTACAGTTCATAGTAAACCTCAATATATCTTTATCTTTCAACAACTGATGAAAAATCTATAGGATTGAGAAAAGAATTAGATAATATCACGGTCAATCGCTCATTCGTTTACAAATGAAGCTTTCTTTGTTAGTATTATCATTACCTTTTGACTTTTACCTATACAAGTATAGAAATATTGAGAAGTAGTTATATTGTATTGCAGAGGTCGTATTATTCTCTTCATTGAAGTATGCATTAGTCTATAGTAGTATTTCCTGCGTTCTTTCTTTTTATGCCTAGTGTTTTAATTCTTATTATTTTTTTCTTTTCTTCTTTTTTCTTTTTTATATATACGATCTAAATAAGAATGAGAGTGCGAGAAGAAAGAAAATATATATACATCATAAAAATTAAACAACCTAACGAAACACCGTTAACGATGAAGAAAAAGTGGAGAGAAAAAAGATCATCATCATATTGCGATCGTCAATGAAAAAAAAAATGGATGAATGAAGGTGGTGCGGCCTTCGCTCAAAGGTGTATATATTCATGGTTTGTATGAATGAACGAATACATGAATGAATGAAAAAAGAAAGTCATATTCAATGATTCCTGATTAGTCTAGCGATATTCTTCAACATGTTATGATACTGAAATATAAAAAGGCACCTTTTTTTCTTCTTCTTTTCTTTTATGTATACTTTATTATTTTTAATAAATATAGAAAATGCGGTGAGATTTCTTTCGTTTGGTATACATCGAAATTTGAGCTTTAGACAAATGGTTTCGTATTAAAAACCGTTTCAGAAGAGAAAAAGCATGTCGGCAAGTTATTAATCATTCTTATACTACCTTAAGAGAAGGACATATGAATGAAAAAAATTTTCTTCATATATATCGCATATTTTGTTTTATGAGTAAATAGATTGGTTATAACCGTTCTTGAAAGAGACGTCACAGGGACAATTTTTTACATCTATATGTAACATACACTCCTAGCCTTTCTTTTTTTTTTTATTTCAAATCAATGTCTTAGCATGACATACTCATTTCCTTTTTAATGATCGACATATATTATGGTAGTAGTCAAATTTAAACTATTTATTTACTCCTACTGTCATTTATAAGAGTATTTCTATTATTCTTACAAATCTGAATTGAATTACTATATTTGATGTTTTATTTCGTTCCCTCTCTGTGTCTCGTCAAATAAATATAAGAATTGCATATGCTTATTTTCGTTCGCTTTCACTTGTAAAGTATATGATCTTTAAGCAATGTTTTTGTTTTTATATAAATTTAACAAAAAAAAAGAAGAAGAAAAATCTTATCTACATATGCCCTTTTAGATTCAATTAATCTTAATATTTATGTGTGAAAATAACAAAAAATACAACGGCGACAATTAATAGTGAAAACGGGACGATACGATCGTCTCAATGGCCATCAATAACATCTTCAATTCGATCAACATCTAGTTTTAACTCATCAGAAACACTTCGAAAAGTATATTATTATTATTCTTTATATATTTTTATGAAATATTTCTATTTTAAAGAGTATTGGAAGTATAGAAAAAATGAATCAAATTCGACCGGATGATCGAACTTTGGAAGAATTATTTCAAAAAACACTTGTAAATAATATTGATTTTCATTCTAAAATAATATTGATCTTTAAAATAGGCAGCAATGGATTTACCAGCGGATAAAATGAAAATGTTAAGAGAATTTCCATCGGATAAAAAATGGGATATTATACGAGATCGAGTATGTGAAATAATTAATTAATTGATTTTTTTTAAAAACAAAAATCAAATTTAGGATCAAGTTACAGCTAAACATCCACCACAATATTATATTGATGGTTTAAAAACGTATATTCGTGGTGCTAATCTTGTACCAAAAGCGTTAACTTTAGTAATAAAATTAAAAAAAAGGAAATTACTTGTAAATGAAATTTTGTTTAGAAAAAGAAACAACCAGTTGAACCATCAACTCAATTACTTTCAAGTTTAGAAATATCATTACGTACGAATAATATAGGGTAAATAATTTTTTTGATTATCAATTTATCCGAAATAATTTTTTTTGAAAATATTTTAGATGGGTACATGAATTTCTTAATACAAACAATAAAGGTCTTGATGTATTACTTGATTATTTGAAAACATCATTGGAAGTTATGCGGTAAGCATGAATATATATCTATATCTATGCATACATTGAGTAGAAGTTTTCAATTTATGAGAGATTAGATTTAAACATGATAATGCAGAGTTAAGAACTCATTCATCTAAATCTAAACAATTCTTATCATGTGGTTTATTTGGGTGAGAATATGAGCTATATATTTTAGTGCATGATGGAATGAAGAAATGAACTAACCTTAGTTAATTTTCAGAAATATTCGAATTGTCATATGATTCTTGTTTTTTTTTAGTGAAATCGATAGTGCAAATGATAATGATTTTATTTTAAATGGACATAATCATTTATTATCGAATTCAATGTTAAATAATGGAAATCATAATTATACCGATGAAAATTCAACTACGAAACGTTCAACATTAGGTCGATCGGATGCAAGACGTTTGCATAGAAAAATCAAAAAATATCAAATCGGTGAAGCTACTGATGATGTTAGATTGTGTATTATGTGTCTTAGAGCAATTATGAATAATCAAGTAAATAAATTCTTAGATACATATCTGATTTAAAGTAAAAGAACCTATCTATTTGATAAAGAAGCTTAGGTGTCAGCATTTGCTATTAATATAATGATAATATGAGCAAACCTTCATGTTCGCTGTTTATGCGAGATTAAACATTCATCGTAAAAGTCGTTATACAAAATCTACTGATATATATTTATTTCACCCATCATTTATTTGTTCCTTGAAAGTATAATTAGAAAAAAGTGCTTAAATTAATTATGATTTTGTTTAATAGGTAAATGACAAGGATAGATAACATCATTCTCTTAACTTCAAACTTGATTTTTTTCGTACTAAAATCAATGTAATAAATAACTTACAATAGTACTATTGAAGGTTTATAATGTCATAACTTTCTATTGATTTGTTAAATCACACATTCATACCTGCGAGGAAGTTATAGATCTGAATTGAAAAATCAATGAATGAATATTACGAAATAAACCTTGGCAATACCCTAAAGACTTGATTTTAATCGAGCAAATTCATTTCTGCTTAAGGGATACAAATCTAAACTAATCAATCGTCTCTCTTTTATAGTTCAGTTTTTAAGTAAATATTCTATTTAACAAATGAATATTTTATATTACAACAAATTAAAACTTTTCCCGTATTTAGAATGGCTTCAATCTTGTTATTCAACATCCATCTGCGTTGAATTATATCACACTTAGTTTACAACATAAAAATTATCGGTAAATATTTTTCATTTTAATTTTTTTTACTTTTATTATCAATTTCGATTTAGTTGTAAAGCACTTATTTTGGAATTACTTGCTGCTGTATGTTTGGTTGAATTAGGACATGATGTTATCCTAGCAGCATTCGATAATTTCCGAATTGTAAATTTTTTATTTTTTAAAAAGTTTTTAAACTATGAAAATTTCTAGGTTTGTCATGAAAGACATCGTTTTGAAATATTAATGAAATCATTTACTCAACCGTTAGATTTCAATGTTGATTATATGGTAAACATTCTTTTAGGAAAAAAAAAGGTTTTATTCATTTAATTTATAGATTGCATGTATGCAATTTATAAATATTATTGTACATTCGGTACAAGATATGAATTATCGTGTATATTTACAAGAAGAATTTAAATTACTTGGTCTTGATGAATGTCTTAAAGTAAATATTTCGTTTTTTTGGTTCAAGTTTATGTATATTATGTGTGTTTTTTAAATGAATAGAAATATTTGGAAATTCACAGTGAATGTGATTTATTTATATTACAAATTCATGCTTTTCTGGATAATTATTTTGATGTTGGTCAATTACTTGAAGATTCAGAAACGAAAGAACAAGCTATTACAAAAGTATCGGAATTAGAAGAACAATTAAGTATTGTAAGTTATCAAGATTTTGGTGGGTTTCTTTTCTTAGGTGTTTTATGATATTTTATAGGCAAATGAACGAATACATGATTTAGAAAATGGAAATTGTAGTAAAATGGGTAAGAATAATCCTTTTGTTATATAATTTTATCTATCTTTTTTTTTCGTTAAAGCGGAATTACAAAAGGCATTAACTAGTGCTGAAGAACAGATCGAAAATGTCAAAGTAAAAACATTAATTTTTTCATAATAAAGAAAATTTCTTAAATTTAATTTTCAGAAAGAACGTGATGATATGTCACATACATTGAATACATTAAGAAGAAATCAACATGACAGAGGTATGTACTTATAAAAAACAGATTAATACCTGATATCTTTTGATAAAGTTATACGAAAAAATTCATTAGTTCAATTTAAATCGAATTGTATTTTAATATTTGTACAGTTGATAATCATCTTTCTTTGTTTTTCATTTCATAGGATCACCAAATAGTTCGACATCATCAATTTCATCAGCTCCTCCTGGTGCACCAACAAGTACATCAAATACTGCATCGAACATACCACCTGCGCCGCCAATGCCGCCACCACCAAGTAACTAACATTAGCGTCTCATCTCTTATATATATTTGTATTTTTTTATCAATTATAGATTTTATTCCACCACCTCCACCGCCAGGACCAGTATGTGGAATTATTTATATCAATATTTTTTAATTATTTTATTTTAGCCTCCACCAATGTTTGGTATTCCACCACCTCCACCAGGTATGCTTGAACCTTTACCAGGTTCAATGACAATAAAAAAGAAAATTCAAACAAAATATAAACTACCTAATCTTAATTGGACATCATTAAAACCTGGACAAGTGCGTGGTACTGTTTTCTCTGAACTTGATGATGAGAAATATTTCAAAGTAAATTTATTTCAATGATAATTTTTATTGAATTTTATTTATTTATTTATTAGTTAATCGATTTTGAAACATTCGAAGAATTATTTAAAACAGGATCTGGTCTACCGATTAATCAAGCAAATGTTAGTCCACATTCACGACAAAAATTTATCAAAATTCCAGAAAGTTTAACATTACTCGATCCACAACGACAGAGAAATTTAGGTAAGATTTAAAAAAGTTCAATTCATCTTAAAAATATATGTTCAATGTTAGGTATTGCTCGACGAAAACTTGATCTTAATGTAAATACAATAGGACGAGCATTGAATAAGTATGTCTACTGAAAACAAAAAATAATTTCATACCTAATTCAAATTTTAGTCTTGATTTAAAAATTTTAACAACTGATACAATTGATATTTTACAACATTTTATTCCAACTGAAACAGAAATCAAAGCATTTACATCGTATTTATCAGATGGAAAATCTATAACAAATTTATCTGATGAAGATCGATTTCTCTACGGAGTATAACATTCTTTTATCATTGAAATATTTTTGCTAAATGTTTTTTTGTTTAGCTATCAAAAATCGAGAGATTATCCCAAAAATTAAATGTTATTTCATTTATGGCTAATTTTAATGATATTAATCAAAATTTAATTCCACAACTTAAAGCTGTTATAACAGCATCATTATCATTAAAAAATAATTCAAAATTTAAAAAACTTCTTGAAGTAAATTCGAATAATTTCAATAAAATTTTATATTTTTTTATTTTTCTTAGATTGTACTTGCATTTGGTAATTATATGAACAGTAGTAAACGTGGACCAGTCTATGGTTTTAAATTATCAAGTTTAGAAATTGTAAATCTTCCTTTTTGTTCTTCTTTCTATTGATTGTTCTATTTTATTAGTTAACTGATACACGTACACATGATAAACGTTTAACATTACTCCATTTTATTGTTCAAACAATTGAAGAAAGATTTCCTGATATAGGACGTTTCGATACAGATCTGCAAGCAGTTGAAAAAGCTGCACAAGGTAACATATATATCTAAGACTGAAATACAATTTCTATGTTCATTGTTTTATCAATGTATTTTGCTCCTACTATCCGATTGTTCAAATCTAAGATTTTCCTTATAACTGGTACTTTTCTTATTTTTAGTATCATTGGAAAATATTCAGATTGATGTTCAGGATCTAACACGTGGTTTAGATAATGCTAAAAAAGAACTTGTTATTCGGCAAACAATGAAGGTTTGTTAAATGATTTTGCTAAAATAAATGTTTTTTTGAAAATTTCTTTTAGAATGTCGAAACACGTCCATTAGAAGAATTTCTTAATATAGCTCAAGATAAAATTGATCGTTTGGTGAAAGATGCTAAATCAGCACAAGATTCATTTAATCAATGTGTGGAATATTTTGGTAAAAGAAAAAAGATAATATATGAAGTTTTATTGTTTTTTTTCAATTAAAGGTGAACCACCACGAACACAAACTCCATCGAATTTCTTCTCAACTTTTGTTAAATTTCAACGAGCATATCAAGTTTGTTAAACTCAATTATTTATTTCTTATTTGAAATATTTATTTCATTTTTAGCAAGCACATCATGAAAATGAAGAACGAAAACGTTTAGCTCGTGAAGCAGCTGCAACACTTGAACGACCCAATAAACGTCAAATAAATAAACGTTCACAGGTAAAAGAAAGTCTTTAGTTATTTAATATAATATTTTTAATGAGAAAAAACATATCGATTGAGTAGGCAAGTGATATGATGTTACTTCAGGTAATCAACATTATTTTTATGCTTGTGGTATCTAATATATATCTATATATATACTTTTTTACTTCAATAAATTTTCTTATTATTTTGCTTTTATAAAAAAAAAATAATTTAAATTTATTTTACTAATCGGTACATTTTGAATTGATTTTAGGAAGAACTATTAAATGAACTCAAAGGCCGAAAAGAAGCAATCAAAGATCAAAAATTAATTAAACGTGAAGCATTAACAGATGGTACTATTGAAACCTTATTAGATGGTATGTATAGACTTCTTTTTGAATATCATGAATATTGTCTGTGTACTTAACTCTATAGATCTTAAAAAAACACCATATTTACGTGCTGATGCTGCTCGTCGAAATCGTCGAAAAACTCAAGAACTTATGAAACAAATAAGTCGTGATGTTCTTGGTAGTGTTACAAATGGAACGAATAATAATAATAATAATATTTCGACTGAAGTTCATTTTTAATATTTATTCATCTTCCGTTTACTTTTTCATCGATGTGAAACGGGTCAGATAGAAAATATTATTCAATAAGATCGAATTCATTTTGAACCTATGACAAAAAGAAAGAAGAAGAAGTAGCAAAATCTTCTACTTGTTCGTTTTGTTTTTCTACTTTAGTCAGATGTACAAAAGAAAATTTTCTTTTTTTTTTTTGCTATTTACTTTCTATAAGGTTTATTGTATATAAAATGATTTCATTGAGATGCATGGATGTTAAAATGTTACAAATAAATAAATAAATAAATATAAATTTATTAAAAAAAAACACAACGAAACAAAACTAATTATTTAAATAATATCTATAATTGATGTGTATTTTACACATCGATGAAATAGATGATGTCGACCATGTAATAAATAATATAATAGAAAAAAAAACAGTTGAATAACCTTGAAAAATAATTATTACCTTAGAGAATATTTCAATTTGATCGTGACAAGTATTTCCCCTTTAATCAATGGTTTTTGATTACTACATTGCTAGTCATGTAAAATGAATATATTATAAGAAAAACTATTTCGATTAGTGAAAAAAACAAAAAAAAATTCGTTTTATTTATTTATTTGTTTATTTGATAATTACATAAAAAATTATGTTGATTAAATATATTTAATTGGATTTTTATTGTTCTTCTAAGACCTTTAGAAAACAAGTTAGTTAGGAAGCAGCAAAAGAAGAAAAATAAAGAAGAAAAGAATTGAATATTTTTGGCATGCGTATAATGTTTTTCTTTCTCTATCTCTCGATCTTTTTCTGATTATAATTGTGCTTCTTCTGCTGTTTTTTGCGTTGACATAATTATCACCAGAAGTAGTATGCGTGCGACAGCATACATTGGTTCGTTCTATGTTCAATATGTTGCATTTGTTTCTTCAAGTAAGAGAAAGGAAAAACAACATAGCTCTGCGAAAAGAATAGTAGACGATGATGATAGTAATGGACTTTTCTTGCACCCTGTTACTAGTTGAGACGATATAAACATCACTCATGTATTAATATACATGTCTAAGTTTTGTGACTTTTGTCATTAATACTATTGAGAAAACAATAGTCTTTTACTAGAAGAAATAATAGATAGAGAGAGATAGTAACAATTGATTGAGCTATTTATTCGATAGTATATAAAAACATTATAATACATTCAAGAAAAGTTCAACGAATTTAAAAACGGTAAGTTAATATTAATAAATTGTTGCCGTCAGCTTTAGCTTTTTTTTTTCTTTATAAAGGAAACATTCTTTTAATTAGTATATTTGATTTTTTTTAATATTAGACTTGTATATAATCCTTTGTTATTCTACTGGAAAAAAGTCTAATTTGGATTTAAGATTTTGAAAGGGAAATAACAAGGATAAGTACTTGACATGCAATAAATTGTATTTGTCGACTGTTAATAATAAATATGATTTCATTGTTAAAACAAAAAAAAAGAAAATATTTTCTTCTTGTAAACAAAAAGTAAATACTAATTTATTTTCGAACATTTTTCTAATTAATATCTAATATGTATTAAAGTATAATTCAGTACATTTTGAAGATATTTATATTCTATTTTAAGATGTGACACATACATTAGCGATGCGTAGAAAGAAATAACAACTTTTCTATTCTATATTTTATCATATAGAAGCCATTTTAACACCTATTGAACAATGTAGTTAAAATTTGTTTTTATTAAATAAAAAAATTTAGTTAATCAAATCAAGTTTTGTATTTATTTTGTTGAACATCAAAAAATAAAAAGAATCTTTGTTTTCTCTTTTTTTTTTCATATTAATATCTATACTTGATAACAATCAAAATAATTCGCGTGTTATTTGCTAGCGGAAGTAACGCGAGGACTGTTGTTACTAGAAGATTCCCCCAGTGAATTTCCTCCAATGTAGTCTCTAATATTTATGATTATTTCATATACATACAGTTACTGTCATTTTTTATTATTACAGTATGTAGTTCAATTATAGAAAAAAAAAAATAACAGAAATAGCCTAGAAATAATGACTAAAAAAAAGTGATATCATGTTTTTGTTAATGCCTAAAGAGAAGAATATGTATATATATAGGTAAAATTCATTTGTTTTTTTCTTAAAATCGAAAGCACGGACATATAGGTTATAGACATAATTAATAATTTACTTAAAGCTAAGCAGGGAATTATGCATCAATAGTCGCTATTTAGATAGATTATACCTAGAGGATAATAAAGATATTAAATCTTTGAAAATAATTCTTCTAACTTATATTTTTAACTGAAGAGCTTTCAAAGAAAATGTTTACGTGTTGTTGACTGTTTCTATTTCCGACATGCATATAGACGAACAACTGCTTAAAGGAAAAGTGGATGCATGTGTATACATTTCTATTTCTGTAACTCTAGTTCATCAATATAATGTCCACATACAGTCTGTCCTTTTTTTTTCTTTTTCCTAGGTTTTTTGTTTGAGTGTTTGTCTGATGAATAACGGTAAGATAGGAAATGAAATATTCTGAAAATTAAAAACTACTGAATAGGAAACGACACAAGTGAAATGTTTTAATTAAATTGTCTTTCTTTCTTTCACTTAATTTTAATGACAATAAGTTATTAAAGAAAAATATAGTATGAAAAATGTTTCATTAACGGATGTGATATTCATGTTAGTTTAGTAGGTGTTGAATATGTTTATTGTTCTGAAGAGAATTTGTCGTGTACTTTCATTTCTAACTGATAATTCTGCTTAAATGATAAATCAAATATTGAAGAACATTCCCTGCATATATTACAAAGTCACTTAGGAAATAAAGAATAGTTAAAAAGAAGGAAATCCCTATTATCATGTAGTTCTATGACGTACTCAAGCGAAAACATCAGAGATGTACCGACATGATTCTCTTTTTGCCACGTTTTCAAAAAATTGTTTTTGTTCAGAATTGTCCTTAAAAATGTTTGTAGTTCATTTAAAATTGACAGTAATACAATCGCAAGAATGACAACCATGTGTTCTAGATAACTGATAGCATAGAAGTGTCTTTAAAAGTAAGTTTATTCTATAAAATTTTACAACTACTTTCGGATCCATTTTTAATGAGATTTAGCATATTAAACAAATGTTTGTCTGATAAATTTTAATGATATTATTCCAGTATAAATAAACTCCGATTGTAAGCTTTTATTAAACAAATGTTTTCCCATATCGTACACCTTTTTAAAGAACAACTATTTTCAAAAGCATACAATTAATTTTTATGCATCAGATACAATTATTTTACGTTGTCTGATAGTAAGACTATAACCCTGGATACTAGGAAGTGTCTTTTATTATTAAATCATCTACAAAAAAGCTTGTATAAAAAAACAATTCAGATTTAATTATTATTATAGTTATATTTTTAGATATATCGTCTGAAAAGAATATATATATATACTAATGCATAGATTTTTACTATTCATTTTTATAGTTCTCTTACCTTTATGTCGTCATCAGCAGCAATAATATCCATGCAATCATCAACTAATAATAATAATTCTCACCATGCACCAAATAGTACACGTTCACGTGTGGCGTCGTCTGATTCTTGGTCAACATTAAAAAGTTTACCAACAATATTAATGACACGTACTTCATTTAAAGTCAATGAAGATCATTTACTTAATTTAGCTATAAAAGCACGATTAGAAAATCGTGAATGTGGTTATTTATCAAGACGTGGTGGACAAGATCCATCTTCATCACCGAATAAATGGCAATCAAAATGGTTTGTTTTATATCAAAATTTACTTTTTTATTATGACAATGTTAATTCACCTAAACCACAAGGTGTTTATTTTCTTGAAAGTTGTTATTCATCAAGATCACCAGCAAAAAATAGTAAAGATGGAGAAAAATTAGTAAGTCTATTTTTAAATCGAAATAAAAAATATTTCGTATTATGATTATTACTAACTAACAAGGTATTTTACCTCTATTCTTTTGGATTAAAACGAAAGGGAACAGTGCGGGTCACGTTTCGACAGCATCTACTAACATTTTTAAGTGCTCACACGCCCGCGCACTTTCCGCTTGATAAAATATTTAAAGTTCATTTTTATATAGTAACATATTTAATATTTTAGAATTGTTTTTCCATATCATATACACGTGATGGTCGAAATGCAATTGAATTTGCTGCTGAATCAGAAACTGATTGTCAAGTATGGATTGAATGTATTCAAACATGCAGGTAGAATTGAAAATTAACAATAAATATTGATACATATAATTGAATTTATGTTTTAGTTATAATCGTCTTTTATCACTAAAAGAAGAACTTGAACAAAAATATCTTCATTTATCACAAGTCTATGAAAGTGAAGCAAAAACAAAATATCAATATTTACAGCAAGTTGAAGAATTATCAACTGAAGTTCGAGAATTACGTCGTGAAGTAAAGAAAATAATTGGATAGAATTTATTTATATATATACAAACTTTTTTGTTTTTTTTAGTTATCTCTTTATCGACGTCAACATCATCTTTTACGTACAAAAAGTACGGCTGAAGAAGATACAGAAGAAATACGTAAAATAAAAAAAGTTCAAAGTCTTTGTCGTGGTTGGTTATATCGACAAAGATGGAAACGAATTGTTGAAGAATATATACGGTATTATTATTAGTTTATAATGAATATTTTGCATACAATCGAAAGTTTTTAAAATGCTTTTGATTTGTAGATAGATTACAGATACGTTAGGAATCCAATATCTGAATTAAAGCGGTTTATAAGTAGTTCACATTTTTAAATCCACTAGTTTCATCATGACAGCTGTAATCTGATAGGAATATATTCGATGTCCTTTAGGATCTATTATACATTCTTCCGTTGTAAGATAAAAATGTTATTCTGATCTTCTTTCTCGTATTCTCATACTCCGATACCTCATTCTAATGAGATTATATATCGTCAAGAAGCAATAAACATACTACATTCATATTCTTAATGCCAAATATAATTCTCTCATCAAAAGAACTAACATACTTCTATTTCTTTCAATTGGCAAAAGAAATAATCATACATATATTTTCCTAAAAAATGAATTTGTTATTTAAGTTCAATTTTAATAGGTCAAGGTCTGAACATTAGCGTGATATGCAACATGCTGTTTATAAGTAAAATCTACTAAGTAGTTCAGTGCATTGAGTTAATGCATCTATTAATGTTGTAATAACTTCGAGGTTCATTTTCCTAAATACTACGTCATAGCTACCAACTGTCTTGTAATAAATAAAACAAAATATTCACATACACAAAGCCTCGATAGAAATGTATTATTAAATAATAGATTTTTGTAATGAGTAGTTAAAATTAAAATATTTACAAAAAAAGAGTGATTAATTAATTAATGATATTAAAACAAATACTTTATATCTAAAAATTTTAGTTCTCCACATGCTGAAATGATGCGTAAACGTAATAATATAATATTTAATTTGGTCGAAAGTGAACGTGAATATGTACATCAATTAGAAATTCTTGTTGCAAATTATGTTCGACCATTTCGAATGGGTAGAAAAGATATTTTCCTATAATAATAATGATTTTAAATATTTTGTTTTAGCTGCAAGCTCAAAAAAACCACCAGTGACACATGAAGATATAAATTCTATATTTTTAAATAGGTTTTTATATTGATTAAATATACCAAAATAAATAAGCTTTATTATATTTATTTTTCTAGTGAAATAATTCTTTTTCTCCATCAAATTTTCTATAAAGGTTTATCAAAAAAGTTAGAAAATTGGCCAACATTTTATACCGGTATTAATAATTCAATATTTTTATATAAATCTAATTTTTTCTCTCTCTTTTCAGGTGATTTATTTGATATGTTTATATCAATGTTACATATATATTTAGAATATGTTCGCAATCATCATTATAGTTTACAGGTAATTGAAACGAATCATTATTTAACATAAAAATAAAATATGTTTATTTTTATTCTTTAGAATTTAATTGAATGTAAATTAAGTAATTCAGAATTTAGTAAATTTCTTGAACGTTGTCAAGTGAAAGCAGCGTGTGAAGGAATGTCACTTGAAACACTTTTAGTCTTACCTATGAATCGAGTTTGTTATTATTTCGAAAAAAAAAAAGAAATATATTTAAAAATTTTATTTAATTAATATAGATTCCTTATTATATAATAACACTTGCTAATTGTTTATCACATACACCACATGCACATGTTGAACGAGAGAAACTTGAGCAAGCAAAAGATAAACTTGAAGAACTTTCAAAAGTAAAATTTAATTAAATAATTGAATAAAATATAAACATTTTTCTTTATAATTAGATTATGCACGATGAAGTATCGGAAACAGAACATATAAGAACTAATTTAGCTATTGAACGATCGATTGCTGAAGGATGTGATGTATTATTAGATGTTAATCAAGTACTTTGTCGGCAAGGTAAAAACGAAACGAATTTATTACCTTTATAATCATAGACAAATACTTAAATTACTTGTTTTGCCGAAATATTCTTGTGATTTGTACGAAGTCGAGAACTTTACAGATTAGGAATGAGTAACTTTCTTGTTTGATAAAACTAATTAGAATAGCTTTCGTTAGTTTATAATGTTTAGAAGGCTTTGGAATAGACAAGTGCAGGGTAGAGCAGAGTCGGGGCTCCTGCACATTTCTCCTATGGAACTCTATGCTTTAGAAAGAACTACCGTTTCATTTTGTAGAACTTGATTATAATAATATTTATAGAGTAAGAATTGTTTTAATATATTCACGAATATTCTTATCTACTAAAACACATTGTTAAGAAGAATTTTGAACTTTTTTTAATTGTTGAAATATTTTTTTGTTCGTCAGATGGTCTCGTTTTATGGACTGGTGAAAAAAACAAGCCAAATCATGGTCAACGATTATCTGCACGAGAAATTCGTCGAAATGAAACAGTTGTTCAATGTTATCTTTTTTCCAATCATCTTGTTACAACAACTCGAGGTTCAAATGGCAAACTACATCTTGTTAAGGTATATTATTTTCTTCTCATATACAGATACATATCTTTGTTTTTTTCCTAGGGTTGTGGAGTTATTCCTTTAGCTGATGTAACACTTGTTGAAGATATAAGTACTGATCCTCAATATTTACTTGCATCAGTAACCGAAGAAGATAGTGTTGATGATACAAATTCTCATATGACAGATAATAAAAATACTGAATTAGATATTTATATAAATCGTTTATTTCGTTTAATTGTTGAACCACGTGATCAAACACCTTTTTCAGCAACATTTGTTGCTAATGATGAAAATCATAAATCTGAATGGTGTACTGATATAGCACAATGTTTACAAAATCTTCGTTATACAGAATTAGTTACAAGAACATTTCGTAATGAATCATCTGTTATTGCACCTGAATCTGTCAAGTAAACGATATTTATTTTTTGTTTAATCATTTATTCTTTTTTTTATATAGATCTGATGTAAAATTATATAAAGATGATTCAAAAATGAAATTTTCTAAAACACTTGATTCATGCAAAATACCACAAGTAAAATAAATAAAATATTTGTTTTTTTGTTAATATGAAATATTCTTTTGTTTCATAGATTCGTCATGCAACACTTGAACGTTTATTTGAACGTTTAACGGATTTACGTTTTTTATCAATTGATTTTTTAAATACATTCTTATTGACATATAGACTTTATACAGATGCTCATACAGTTATGGAAATATTAATAAGAATTTATAAATCATCACCACATACATCACTTGATCACGCGAATGAAACAGATACACAAAAAACAGATGAACATCACAAGTACAAAAAATTATTTATTTAATAAATATTTATTTTTTTGTCTTCAGAGAAAAACCAATAAAAATTAGTGAAATCGATAATGAATTAACAAGAAGAATATCAACAGGTTTCTATTTTTATTTCATATCAATTTAATTTATTTCTATTTCAGTAGTTGAAACATCAGTTACAACAACTACGGAACAAGAACGTGATTTACGAAGACATTCACATATTGGATCATTTCAACGAGGAATAAGTAAAGTTTTATATAATAATCTAAAGAAGATGATAGTCTTCAATTTTTATAGGTATTGATCAAAATGAAATAGTTACTACAACAGTCGTTACAAAAACAACTGAAAAAAGTTAGTTGATTTAATCTATTATTAAAACTTCAGATACATAATGAATTAAAGACTAATAGAATTCAGACTTAGAAAGAACAGAAATCAACCAAATAAAAGCTTGAATCGAAAGAATATCAGTTTGGATAGTTAAGTTTAATATTCTTGTCTCATATACAATCGTCACACAGAGAGTTAGAATAGTAAATCGGAAAAACGGTTCGCTTTCAAAAAAACATAATTATATATAGCAAAGATAAGAAGGAATAATTTTATGATTTTATTACTAGAAATTTCCATAAAATCCAGTGAAGCAACTGTTGCCTTACCAACACTCGCAACAATTCCATCTATGGATATTGATGAATCAATTGAGACACCTCATCGTCCATTAGCACCACTTGCATCATCAGAAACATTTACCGATGTTAATTCATTAAGTCATGATGATCATAAACTTCAAGGAAATACGAAAATTTCATCAACAAAAAATAAAAAAGAACATCTTAGTCCGCAAACCAGTTCGAAAACAACCAAAAGTGAATTTGATTCATTAGAAATTCTTTTTGATTTTCCATCATCGGGAATATCTAGTAATACTCATTTGAATGTTGAACAACCACCTCATAATATGAGTCATCTATGTTTTAATGATAATCATCAAATCTTAACTACAGATAAAGTAATATTTATTTTTTTTTAAAAACTACAAGAAATATTTTCATACTCGTATAGGAAGAACAAAAAAAATTACTACTCGAAAAAAGTGATAGTCCAACAACACTACAACGAGCAAGACTTGAGTCAAATAGTGCGACAGGGATTGCACAAGCAAATCAAACAACATCACAAAATGTTCTTATGCTTTGTAAGATTAAATGAATGTTTATATATACATATATGTATATGTATATTTTTAATTAAGCTAAACGTTTAAGTGAAGTACTTTCGTCACCACGTCAGAGTTTACGTAATGCAGCTGAAGGTACATTTAAAAAAGTTTTACCTGGTGTTGTTGTAACATCATCACGATCATCTCGTCGTCGAACAAGTTCAGCTGCTGCTACACAAGCATTTGCAGCTGCTGTAGCAGGTGAATCACCTAAATTTGCTCGAAATGAAAGATTACCTAGTACTCCAGGTAAAATTAAAAATAAAATTTTGTATTCTATTTTTATTCAAATTAAAAACAATCTTAGGTAGTAGTTCAGCATCACCACAACCAACAGCAAGTAACAATCCTCTTGCATCATGTTCTTCAAGAGAACAAAAAACAAATGAATATACAATTGTGAATACAGCTTCAACTATGAGAGTTTTAAATGTTTTAAGACATTGGCTTACCAAACATCCTCTAGTAAGACGAAAATAACTTTTAGCTCTTTCTCTAGTTGGTAAAATACATGAGTAGAGAATATAAGATTTCGTATTATTTGTAACCAGTGGCGAATTTAGCGGGTGTGCGATCGGGAAAGAGAGATTTCGCACCAACTTTTGATTACGATTTCCTTACATATAAAAACATACACGATCTTCGGAATAAGAGAAAGGGTGTGGGTGAGGGTGTATAAGTCATTCTTCTCTCATACTACACAGACACACCCACACCCTCTAGTATTATGTCGTATATTCACTTTTATATATTCACAAATAATTTAATCTATTTTATTGATCCATAGGATTTTCATCGAGATCCAAAATTAAAAGAAGTAAGCGAAGATTTTTCTATATTGTTATTTTTTTTATTCATTTAATTTTGTTAAGATGGTACTTGAACTTTTACAAGATATGTTAGTAAATGGTCATTTAATTGCAACGGAACATAAAGCAGCTGTTACAATAATAAAACAATTAGAAACCAATGAAGTTGAAGAAAAAAATACAGAATTACAATTAATTCTTCATCCACCACCAGTATAGAAAAGAAGACATATTTTTTTATTAAATTTCTTTTTTTGTTATAAGGCTTCTGATGTAACACTTGATCAAATAGCTGTTTCTGACGTCGCTGAACAAATGACATTAATAGATCATAAATTATTTTGTGCATTATATAGCGAGTATGATCAGAAGAAAACAACGTTTTTTATTTATTTATAAAATACTTTTTTTCCATTTTTATAGAGAATTAATTTTACAAGGTTGGATGAAACCAGGTCGTGATGATTTAGCACCAAATGTTGCAGGTATATCTCGACGATTTAATGAAGTAAACTAAATAAAAATTATTTAAAAATTTGACAAAAAAGAATTCTTTTCAATAGATGTGTCGCCTTGTTATAACTGAAATCTTATCGCAAACAACTATCAATGGTCGAGTTCAATGTATTGAAAAATGGGGTATAGAAAATAATTTTCTTTTACATATATAAATTATATTTCATATCTTTTTTTTCTGTCTAGGTACTATTGCTGATATATGTCGTTATTTAAGAAATTTTAATGGTGTTCTTCAAATAATGGCTGCTTTTGTTAATAGTTCAGTTTATCGTTTAAAACAAACATGGGATCGTATATCAAAACAAAATAAACAAGTTATTAATAAACTACAAAGTCTTGTGCATTCCGATGGTAAATTTAAAAATTTACGTGATACATTAACAAAGTAATAACAATAATATATATGTAATTAATAAATTTTCTTTATTTTAAATAGAGTTGATCCACCATGTGTACCTTATCTTGGGTTATATCTCTCTGATTTAACATTTATCGAAGAAAGTTCACAAGATGTATCAGAAACAGATTTAATTAATTTTTCAAAAATGCGAATGGTAATAATATACTTCATATTAGACGAATTTTATAGTATCTAGGATAGACATAAATATATTCGAAATGAGTCATTATAGTGTTTATTAATGGTTAAAAGATTAGTAAATACTTAAAATTATCTCATCATTATTGCAGTGTTTTATCTAGTAGATGGGCGGCGCCCACCTAAAAAAGAAATCTGGATAAAACACTGCATTCTTATTCATTTTAATTGATTGATAAAATATTTTTTATATATTCTTTTAGAAAACACATATAATCAGTGAAGTACGTCGTTTTCAATCAGCAACATTCAAAATCAAACATAATCCACGTATATGTGCCTATTTATTGAATACATCTCGTTTATTATCTGAAGATCAATGTTATGTTCTTTCATTAAAATTAGAACCTCGTGCAACTCGTGCTGGTGTAACAAATCCGAGTGTATAATATTTTTCTTTTGTTTCTGTTTTATTTTTCAGTAAATAATAAAAAATATTTTATCATGCACTAATACATATATATATATATTATATAAAAATAACCTATTTCGTTTATCTCTTTCTCAATCATGCTTACATTTGTCTTACTCCTACTGAAAGAGATAAAATAAACCAACCGTGAATAGGTATATAAACGATAGATGTGCGCAAAAAACAAACTAGATTAAAAATGATCACCATGACTCCACCCATCAATAATCCTCGCTCATCAAAATCACAATTATCATCTGAATTAGCTCAAATAGAATCCAGTTCAACTGATGATGATGATAATGTTGAATTAACTCCAAATTTAAATAATACCAAACATGATATTACATCATGGCATCATCAAATAGCTAAAAGATTAATTTCTATAAATGATGATTTACATGTTATCATAACAAAATTTGACGAAAACACTCATGATGAAATCGAAAATAATATGCGATATAAAATAATAAAATTTGAATTAATGAGAATAGCATTAATGTTAAATCCAACAGAATTAGCAACATATAACGTTAATGAATCAATTGTTCCATATATAGATTTAAAACAACAATTGGATAATTTATTTATTGAAAATAAAACTTATCAACATGATCAATTACGTTTAAAAATTAATGATATTCTATTAAAATTAAAACATAAAACGAATAAACTACGATCAATTTTATTTAATTCATCTGATCAAGATAAATCATTGTATTATATTCGAAAATATCGAAAGAAAACTACAAGTTCTTTGATAGATATACGTGAACATATGATTGAATATAATCGTATAAATCAAATTCTTGAACAAGATGATGAAGTTACAAAACATCAAAAGACTATTAATCAAGTGATTACAGAAATGTTTAAAAAAAATGCTCTTATTGATCAACGTGTTGTAGATTATAAAATACTAATCAAAGTAAATATTAGATTACAATCGGAATATATTCTTTTTTTTATTAATTATTTAGGAATATAAAGATAAATATGAATTTCTCTCATCACCTGTAATATCATACTCATCAGAATCACCTCGGAAATCGTTATCAGAAGATGATCTTCTTTCTTTCGAACCATTGGAATTTCCTGATTTACACTGTGAAGCTAATGAATTCTTCGATTCCGATCCAGTAATTCTTCAAAAGAACAATATATAAATATATTTAACTCACTTTGATTTTATATTTGTAAACATTTATCTTTAATAAAAAATATTTTTATTAGACCTTGTCTATATAAAACTATTTGTCAAAGTTAGAAGAAACTTGATTGATCTATAGCGTAAGAATAATGCAGGTGATTAAACTAACATTGATATCAGTTAAATTACCTTTTCAAACCGTAGACAATAGAAATTCAGCATATAGAAAAAAGAAGGTATTTATAAATCTAAAGTCTATTGTTCAATTGAGTATTAGTATTCTTGGATAATGTTATTTGAAGATAACGTAATATATTATCATACAAAGAGCTATATGATCTGATAATTACTTTTCTTTTTCTTCTTCATTGTAAAGAATCCATAAAATAAATTTCTTCTTACTGACTTACCCAATACTTTGTCTTTCATCGATTAACTTGCACTCGAACAATATCAAACAAGCTTATCTTTGAATTTCAACTTCAATGAAGTACAATATATCTTCCAACATCTCCAATCAATGAGAATGATACTTTTCATTTTAGTTATTCTATCACAAAACAATCAATCGTACCCAAAAAAAAAAAGCTTGAGGCCTCGATCAAACATAGATATAATCACAATTGCAAATGCTTGACATTCGTTTCATTATTCTTCAACGCTTTTCTTCTCTCTCTGTCTCTTTTGTTTGGTTTTTATTTCTTTTCGTCTCTCTTTCATCCACTTTAGGTTTTTTTTATCGTCATATGTACACTTTCTCGATTTTTTTTGTCGTTCGGTTTAATGTGTCTTTTGCACACATGCAAAATCTCTGTTGTCTTGATTATTTACAGGCAATGAGAGGTGGCTATACAAGTAAACAGGAAAAACACGGCAGCGTCGTTGTGTTCTATACTGATAACAACTCATATTATAATCTAAAAAAAGTATTTTATTGTGTCAACCGCCTATATATATATATATGTGTGTGTGTGTGTGTACATTGTATGACATCACAAGCGCGCCTACGACAAGTGCAAATGGATGTGGTACTGATCATCCGATCTCTTCATTTTTTTTCAAAAAAAAAGAGAGAAAGAATTGTTTGATTTTGTGTGTGTGTATGTTTGAGTCTTTTCTTTGCTAAAGAGAGAGAGAGAGAGAAAGAGCAAGCAAATGCTCTAATATAATGTCAATGTATACACGCGTCACCCGACAACTTCATTCTTTTGCTTGCATTTGAAATTGATGTATTGTAATGAGATAAATTAGCACTATTTATTAAGGTAAGAATATAATATAATATACATCTTCTTTCGTCTTTTTAACAAATCATTTATGTTTTATGATCGATATCGTTTAAATACACAACATGAAAAGGAAAAAATTTTATACCTACTTCATCTAAGATTTTCTCTTTCTCCTTCTCTCTCTTCGTTTATCATTCATTTTATTTTGTTTTACTTATCGACAAAGTTAAATCATGATTCTCGCCTTTTTTCCCTCTTATCAGTCAATGTAAATCCCTGACTGACAGAACAATTGTGTGTGCACGCGCAACGGATGACAAGTTCTCAAATAACTCACTCATGCTCTTACTCTTTATCCGTTCGACAAAGCAATTATTCTTTTAGTTGCTGGCGCAACAAAGTTTTTTTTAAAAATAAACAGAAAATGAGGATTTACGAAAAATGCGCGTGCGCTCTTGCACTTCGAAATTTGATCACAGTCATCAACTATGGATTACACTTCCCTTCAATATTCGTATTCTTAACCCAAAATATTTAAATGACGGCGACGATGAAGGGGAGAGAGAGAGAAGAAGTAAACACACGTATATGCATACAGGAGAGACGCCATCTGCCTTTTTCAAACAGCATCAGAGTAAAGAGGTAGAGAGAGAGAGACATTCGATGAAAATGCACACAATTTACACAAAGCTTTATCAAACAGAGAGAAGAAAAAAAGTGGATATATCGACAAAAATCTTCTTGAGTTGGTAAAGAAGAAGAAAAAAAAACGAGTAAGAGAGAATAAGAGGAAGAGAGATATCGTTTTTTTTCGCTATGTGTATTTGATTGAAGTGACAATAATATCGAGTAAAAAAAGAAGAAAAAAAAAAGATGAAGGTAGTTTTTTTTTCGATCGGCAAACAATTTATATAGGTAATTTCAAACAAATAAAACTTCTATATATATTTCTACCATATCTAATGAAAAAAAAAAGAAAAAGAAGTTTGAAATTAAATCTTTCAAACAATTCATCATGTTCACATTTTGTCTGGCACAATTCTCTTTTTTTTTAATGAAAAAAGAGCTTGAATAATTGTTTGCTCACGCACATTTCTATATGTCCTAGTGAAAATAAACAGTACCTGATGGTGCTGTTTCCCGTATGTCAATTTTTTCTGTTCCTTCATCACGATTTATAAATAAATAAGTAAAACCATTTTTCTTTCATTAACATTTTTCTTTCTTGCTTTCTTTTTCTTTATTATTCGTTTTTTTCCTATATAGTCCTCTCGTCTTTCATCTATTTTGTTGAAAGAAATAAAAAAAAGAAAGGAAGAAGTTTGTTTTATTCATATTTGTAAGTCTGATTATATTATGTAAACATCCTTCTCATTTGCTTACTTGCGTGCATTTGTCAAGCGCACTTGACAATTATCGTTTTTTAGAATTTGTTTACTCATCGTCATTGCTTGTCTTTTTATTTCTCTCTCTCTCTCTTTCTTTTCTATCTTCACCTGCTATATATATATACGTTCTTCAGTTGTTTTACAAACAAATATACATTAATTCTAAGGTAAGCTGTTCTGTTATACGATGTTTATTAGCAATTGTTCAATATTTACTCATCATGTACTACAAATTTTTAAATTTTATTCACTATACAAACATTGGCAAGCGCGCCTATTATATGCATCAACAACATCATTTTAAAATTTATCCTTCTTTCTTTTTCTTTAAAAGCTCCCGCGTGTATTGTTAATCGAGTGAGTATAAGCATTGAATGATGATTAAAAAGTTTTGCATGCTTTGAAATTGATCTATACATATTACTGTATACAAAAGTAAGAAGAGAAGAGAAAAAGTAAACGTGCATATATATATATATATATATAAATATATCGGTCTCCTTCTTCTCCCGCAAAAACGAAGCAGCCAGAGTCTAAACTATAAGTAGTAGAAAAAAAGAAGAAGAAGAAAAAAGAAGAAAGCGTCGGGTCTTGTTTGCTAAACTGAGTAAACAAACCACGCGCAAGAATATAATAAAAAAAGGGTCATATACACAACATCAGGAGCAGTAAGTAATAAAATAGAAGTAGGTGGAGAACATGTTGATATTGTTCTTCTATACTTTCTATGTCTTCTATAATATATTTGATCATTGAAAATCGATTTGTAAATGTTATTTTAATTATTCTTTTTTCTTTTTTAAAGAATTTTAGATCATGATAGTAACACAAGTTATGACCGATGATGAAGATAATAATGATGATGTCCTTGATTTAAGTGTTAAAAAGAAATCTTCATCATCAAATAATGAAATAATTCTTAAACAAAATCAAAATTTATCTAGTTTACTTTCTCCATTATCATCAGCATCTTCAACATCATCATCATTAATCATATCACCAAAACAAAATCTACCAACTAACAAACGAATGTTAGACACATCAACCACAATAAAAGCTCAACAAACAGGAACAATACCATCAAATAAACGACCACTTCGTTTTCAATGTAAACATTGTGATTATAAAGCACCATCCACATCACTTATGCAAAACCATATTTATCGTCATACAGATTTAACACCATATGCATGTGCATATTGTGGTCATAAATCAACAACAAAATCAACAATTATGGTACATATTGAACTTTGTCATCCTAATATGGAAGTTAAAATTATTGAAAATCGTGTACGAGAACAAGATTTTTATCGTGATTTAAATAATTCAGAAATACAATCTGTATCAATTTCAAATAGTACTACAACAACAACAACAACAGCACCATTAACATCATCACCAGCAACAACACCAACGCCAACAACAACACAAGAGCCACAAGTTAAAAGACAACGTCGTTCGAATCAATATGATAGTGATGCAGCACCAATAAATGGTGTTGCTATATCATTAAAAGCAATTGTCGATGATGAAAATGAATCATCACGAGCAAGTGATGATACTAGTGAAACAGAAAATCTTGAACCGATTTTATTCGAGAATGATGAACAAAGAACAGATACAAATATTTTTGAATCATCACCAACTATGGTTAAACCAACACTAAAATTTAAACTTACATCTCATCAAATACCTATTGTTGAATCAACCACATCTGCTTCAAAAGAATCAGATTCTGATGGTAAATTTTTAATTAAATTAATAATATTTTATTATTTTTTTCTCGTTATCTAGATGGTTCAGAATATCTTCTTGTTTATAATCGTCCTAAACAGTATTATGGTTCATTATATGAACCAGATAAACAGTAAGTAAATATTTCTTATAAGTTTTCATCATTTAAGTGTTTTATTGGAAAAAAAACAATGTTTTCTTCACTAGGTATGCATGTAAATTATGTTCATATACAACAAACCATCGACCAAGCATGGAAGATCACGTATTTGTACACACAAATGAGAAGCCATATAAGTGAGTTACTTTGATCTTTCTCTCTTAAAATATTCTTTATTGACAAATGACGGTTGATTGACCGTCTGTTCATTATCATCATTTTGTTCTCTCTTATTCTTTCCTAAAACAAATATAAATATCCGGCTCCACTTGTTCATTTAATAGTCAAGTTAAAAGAGAAAGAGAGTACGAATAAAATTATTTGTATTACGCATATTACCGAGAAATTTTGTTTGATGTGGCATTGTGTAAATTAGCAATGTATATAGAAATATTTAGTTTATTGTCAATAAAAAATCAAATACAGTCTAACCAATAAATGACACGTGTGAATGAAATTCAATCATAAGCTTTTCTTTTTATTATAATAGTGTCTAGAAATTCAACAGAATTAAACTCGTCATCTATTCGATTATAGCAGAACAATGAGAGATTACATATTGAAATTTATTTTAATTGAAAGATATTTTTTCCAATATAGCCGTTAAAATTAAAAGACATAAGAAATCATAGAGATCATAGTTCTATTTCTCCAGGAACATTTTTAGATTAATGCGTAAATATTCATAATAAAGACGATGTTTATGTAAATATTGCAATAAATTTACTAATGTTATAAAACGTATTGTAATCGTTATTCATAAAAATATTGACAAACATTATTACAAACAGTCTATATTTCGATAGTACTTTAATGTAAACTGATTATACTGCATCGATGGTTAATAAATTAAATCTATACATTTTTTGTTTATTATACTTGACAATTTCAATGTATAAATTTAATAATATTTTTAGATGTGGTTATTGTGGTGAAGAAATTTTTACTCGTTATGCAGCAACTTATCATATAAAATATAAACATGCTGGTATGGCACGTAATTTTATTCAAAATAAAGCCGATGTAACACAGTATTATGTCAATCGAGCTAAAAGAGATGATGAAAAAAGTAAATATTTATCATTGAACCTTTATTTTTTCATAAAAAAAAATATGTTTAGATCAATTTAAAGTAATTGATACACGTCGTGTTAAAGTTCCATCACGTAATGGAAAATCAGTAAATAATCAACAAAATAAAATTGAATCACCTGTTGAACATTCTATTCCAAATGTATCTTCACCATCGCCATCAAATGTAGTTATTTCAACTCCTCCACAAACACCAATATCAAAACCAACAATTCCACCATCAAATCCTGCTGCACAGACATCAACAGGTCAACCAGACTATCGATTTTTATTAGCTTGGTCTTATTATTTAGCATCACAAGCTGCTTGGCTTCAACCTTTGTTACAACAACAAGGTCAACAACTTCCACCTTCTCTACCAACTGATCCTGAAGCAGCTGCAAAATTTTTACAACAAGCTATGCAGACAGCTATGGAACCTTTAATAGCAGGACAAACATCAAATAATAATAAAAATGATGATAATGATGATGATGATGATGAACAAATTGAAACTGAACTTGAATCAGAAACATTAGTTGTTATTAAACAAGAAGCGAATGAATCGTAAATATAATCATCTATTTATTTTACATCTGACGCATAGAGACCGGTGATTAATAAGCTAATATTATCTATTTTGTGCTTTATATCATTCATCTACAAGCAATGTATTTTACTCTTAAGTCCACTTCATCTTCTTGTGTTATTGTTTAAGTTTTTTTTTCTTCTTCGCCTATATTTCTCACATCTATGTATTCATTGATAATTCTTTTTCATTTCTTCGCTTTTTTTTTTTGATGATAACTTCTGTTTTTTGTTTTTCAATGTTGTTTGTTTTGTGACATTTATAAGAAAAAAAAAGAAAATCAAGATAGAAAAAAAGACACCAGAATTGTGATGAATTTTGCTTGTTTTTTTTCCTTCTTCTTCTGATGTATCAGTGTATGTTTATTTCGTTTTTTTCTTTCTTGCGCAAAAAATAAAAATAGAATGAATTTTATTATTATTAGAATTTACTAAAATAGATAGTATCGATTGTTACGCATGAAAAACAGTTACATAAATAATTGTGTGATGGTTATTGAATCATGAAATGTGTTTGTCTGTTACATTCATGTTTTGACTAGCAATCAAATATATTTCGTATCTGAAAATCAAGACAGCGACGAAGTTTATCAAGTTCTGGTTTATTTTTAGATGAAACAATAAAATCTATTGCTACATGGTACCTAATTGTATGAACTTGTTTTTTTCCTGACATTGATATCAGATCGTTCATTTCTTCTGTATTCAATATAACATGCATAACATCATTGAATCTTGAAGTGATGACTGAAAAAGACATAATTGAATAAAATCTTCTGATTGATTTCTAATCATAATGATTATTGTTTGATTGAATAATAATTTGTAAGTTGTTTTTCTTGATATAAAGATACAGATGTTCAAGGACTAGTAGTTACATATTGCTTGAATACATAAAATTACCATTAAAAGATATGATAAGAAAAACTAGAGATTCCTGACTAAATAATTTGAATAGGAAATAAAATTTCTAAAAAAAAACAAAAACAATTATAAAACAAAAAGAACCTTTTGGTATCATATTACTTGTTGAACTATCAATAAATGATAATATACTTCGTCAATAATACCATATGTTAACGTTAAAAGTTTCAGTTTTATAAATATAAGTTATACCACTTCTATCGAATAATATTTTTCATATTAGCAATGTCCTTATAAACATTTTGTACCCATTCGATATTTGTCATGAATAAGAATATGTTTACCTTGATTTCTTCTTTGTACTTTTTAAAAAATATCTTCTATTATCCCATTTAACAATAATAATAATAATAATAATAATACGACGAATATATTCGTTCGAATTAAGCTTAAAGTTAAGACGACTTTATCATGATTTATAACCTAGATATATTATTGAAATTGAAATATTATTACAATTTTCGATTCAGCATGTTGTTTACATTGACATTTATGAAAATACCCAACTGTAAAATAATTTCTTTTTCTATATTAATTAAACCATAATAACAATAATAATAAAGAGTCATCAAAGACAGTAAATTAGTTTCTGGTGTTACACCAATTTCATAGTCCATGTCAAGTATTTTTATTCAAGCATGACAGAAGAAAAATATTTTTCTCCCTTCATCAGTCTTTTTCCATATTTTTTTATTTGCAAAAAAAATTTTATCTGTTTTTGCGATTAATATTAAGAAAAAACAATGAGGAGCATGTAAAATGTCTTTCTCATTTATATCCAAAAATGAAAAAGAAAAGACGAAAGAATATAAATAAACACACTTTAATATTTATTCCCATACGTTTTTCTTGCTTTTCATTTTTTTTTACTCAACTGGTATAAAATATGCTTATTACTCTTCAAGGTTGCGACAATAACTAGTCATTAATGAAGTAATAAAAGAAAAAAGAACAGAATCGTTTCAAGTGACTTTCCATTTCATATCTGATTCAATATACAAATAATTTCGCATTAAAATTATGTTTAAATATAAATATTATTTTTTTTTTTGAATTTCGATGATCATTCTAATACGTTATGTTAAGCCAAGGTAAATATTGAAGACTATTCAATTTTGGACGTCGATTTTCGTTACCGTTTAGACATTGTTTCATCGTATGATAAGCATCTTTATCCATAGCAGCTATATTCGCTAAATTTGATCTTCCTTTGACGATATCAGGTTTTGTACGAAAAGGATATTGTCGATAAAGTAGAAAGAAAAGGCAAACACCTATTGTCCATACGCAAGCTTTTTCACCATTATAACGTCGTTGAACTATCCATTCTGGCACCATAATTTCTAACGTACCCTAAAAGAGAAAAGAAACATATTTTTAAATATAAATATGATATAATAATAATAAAAATAATCTAACTTGAAATTCATGAAAATCTTCTACTTGTACCGGCGCAGCTGATCCAAAATCAATGAAACGTAATGAACGATCATTCTTACAATAAATAATATTCTCTGGTTTACAATCCCGATGCCAAACACCATACATTTGCAATGTTACATTAATACGAACGATTTCATTAAATATATGTCGTAAGAGTTCTGTGTTTGCCAATGGTGAACTTTTCATAACAAAATCAAAAAGTGTACATGAATTTGGGATTTTCTCCATGACATATATATAACGATCTGGTTCTTCAAAATGTTCTAAGATTTTTATAACACCGGGTACACCACGAAGACGCCAGAGAATTTCAATTTCATATGGTACACGTTTCTTCAAAAGAGAAAAAATATATATAGTTTTGTTTTTTAAAAATAATTTCAATAAAGAAATTATAGATTAACATACGCCATCAAATGTTCCCCAATTAAGTATACGATCTCTTGGTAAGAACTTAACTACAACCGGTGAATTATCTGATCGTCGTCGACCATCGAATGCATGTCCGAAACCACCTTTACCCAAACAAGTTAATGTACGATATTCACGATTAAATGTTTTCTTTATTATTTTATTTGCATTTGGTATAGTAACTGGTTTCGGTGTTATAGACGATCGATCAGAATACAATTTGTGAAATTCAAGGAAATTATTACCCATATATGTTGGCGTCTATAGAAATAAAACAATACTATTTTGACGAAAACAACAAAATAAATATTCTTACTAATCGGTCGCTTTTTGGGTAAGCATAATCACCAAATGAATGTAATGGTGAATTATTTTTGCTTTGAACAAGCTGAGGCGGTGGTGGCAGACTCCATGCTGCATTGTCAAGTTTCCATTGATTGTCAATGACCCGAGTAGTCATATCTGTAATGAAAAAAAAATAAAATAATAATGTATTAACAATAATGTATGTACTTAGAGAAGTAAAAGAAAGAAAAAAAAAGAAAGTAAGCCTGCACTACTCATAACAAAAGATTTTTAAATGACTACAAAATTTTTTTTCATACATGTATATATATATGTATGTATATATGTATTCGCGTAGGTGGATGTACGTATACATATGAGATGCAGAAAAATGTTTCATCCAATACAGATACAAAAGAGGTCATCTTTATATACTTCTGAATAAAATGAAACGATCTGAACTAGAGACATTCACCCATACATCTATTCACGCTTCAATGAATAGTATGAGAGCGCTGTCTAATTACGTTTACGATCATAAATGTGCATGTATATATATATACATATATATGTGTATATATATATGCCCGAAAGAAAGAACTATACTTGCTTGTTTTCTGTTCTGTCAAACAGACACGGTCAAAATCGAGAAAATGATTCAATATGTAATCGAAATATATTTTAAAAAAATGATTTTAATGATCTATTGTCTATAAAGCATCAACGTCATCAAATCTTCTTTCCTTTTTCTCTTTATATTGACGTTCTCTTGCCTTCACGTTATATATGATTGATGGGCACGGTATAGCAGCACATAGATAAACATCTATCCATTTATACATTCATTTTCTTTTTTTTTTTCGCGCCGCATTCAATCGTATGATTTGTTTCGTTTAGGCAGGCCATATACTTGCCATTAGCGATCAATACATGACACTTTGGTGATGAGACAGAAACGAGCGTCTAGTATGCATTTTCTCTTTTTTTTCTTCTTCCTATCATTCTTTGTGATGATCGGAGAGAACAGCAAAGAAAAAAAATATAACATACAAAGACTTACCTCTAACATACCGTATGATATTTCTTTATCTGTATTTTATAGATGAATATTAAGATATCATTTAGTCACGCTTCACTCTCTTAAGACAAGCACTTTCTATACATGCGATTCGATCTTTAACATGAGATATGTTAATGAAAATATGCAAGATGTATATGATAAATAGTGTCGCGTCATTTCATAATTTACTATTATCGGAATTTGAAAAAAAAAGGTAATCAGAAAAAATACGTATAAATTTTTAATCAAAATAGCTAGAGCTCTGTGACATTCACGATTTAAGAAAATGAACCGAGGAGCGTTACTAATACTTATTTCTCTCCAATAATGAAGGTCACAGGGCTCTAACTGTTTTGATTAAAAAACGTTATAAATATTTTGCCTTTTTTTTCCAATTCCAATATTAATGTGTGATCTAAACAAAGATCTCTGTTGTTACAAAGACTATTTAACAAATCTACTATTTATGTCTAAATGAGAAAGCTAAAAGCTATATTTGAAATAATTTAGAAAACTATGAAATTTTAGTTGGTTTCATAAAAAGAAACAACACAAGTCATGTATAATATATCAGATTGAATATTTTTGCTCTAAAAACAAATTTCATATGATAACCGCGTGGTCACAATAAACAATACAAAGGTGTACTTTGAAATGTTTTCGTTCGACGCAATACATTATCAACGTCAACATCAATTGTCATTCAAACAATGTTTATGTATACAGGTGTCACATCGAATCGTCCATTTCTTTAATAATTGTTTCGTTCTTTATATATAAACACTGTGATCTAGACGATTGTACATGAAACGAACGACGTCATCAAGAAAAATATATAAATTTATTTCCAATTACTTTAGAATATTTTTCGGTGCATTTGTCAAGGTAGAACAAAATGATTTATCTGTCTAGAAACTATTGTAAATAACACAAAATCATTGATTATGAAGTTAAAACTTCGATTAAAATCATATTGACGTCATTCAATATTTGAAATCATTGACCTTTAACTATCGAACTATTTCAAAATGATTTTTATTGATAAAAATCAAAGAACTCAAATTTTATTTCATCATATTGTTACTCATTTGTAAAAATGAGTAATGTGTATTTCAACAGAAGTAGATCATGAGATGATAACATATGAGTAATATTTTATAGGAGAAATAATTATATATTTTTATTTTGAAAAAAGACAAATTTATAGAAATTAAAATATTAACCTTCTAATATTTTATAGATATTATACGATTATCAAATAATTATAACGGTTGAGTTTGTAAGATTGAATCGATAATATTTTTCACTGATATGAACACATGAAAAATGTATATAATGAAATTAGACCAGAAAATTGTGATATTTTTTCATGGCACATCTTCATAGAAATTGCGGTACTGTGACAATTTACCATTTTATGCATGTAATTACCAAAAAGGAAAAAACTGAATACTGATCGCTTGTTTTTTGTTCTGTAGTCATGGTCATGGAAAAATATGATGAAACTGTAAATATAATTTTATCTTATCAGAAAGTCTTTTCAATCAATATTTTTGTAAGAAATCAAAAAAAAACGGATGCTAATTATGATGGCGAAAAAAAAATTTCTGATAAACGATACAAATATATTTTCATCCGCTGTTATGAAAATATTTTTAATATCAAATCAAATATACAATGGCATCGAACGTTGTAATGATTAATGAAACTATCAGCATTTTTCTTAAATGTGTGTAATGATGATGTCGTTCAAAATCTGCACTCAAGATACATATATGAACATAGGTCACTAGAAATATATGTCCTTCTTGATTCGATCGAACAGCTGTCAAGATAATGAAAAAATGAATAACTAATTCTATATACGTTTTTTTACAGTTGCATAAACATATCAAACTATAACTGATAGGACAGCGTTTCTTTTTTATCACTTTCGATAGTAGTTATTGATTATCATTGCTAGGCTATTAGAATGATGTATGTATTAAAATATACTAGTCGTTCAATTGAACAAGGTGTATATTAATAGACCGAAACTAGAAAATTGATTGATACACATCGAAATGAAAAATGAACATGAATGAAATGCATATGCATTATAGTAATAATGCCGGGATTTTCTTAAACAATGTTCCAGAGTGAATAAAAACAAAGGATGATTATGCATATATTTTTCTGATTTCCAATTAAAAGTCAGGCGCTTGTTTTTGCTGTATATGTCACTTCAGATCAATATGAATATGTGTAATTATATGATTAAATTCGACGGATTAAGAAATGACAGCATCAAAAACGTAGAATATCATTAAAACTATTAAGTCAAATGTCAGGCACCGATCTAATCAATCTTATCGACGTAGTAGAAAGATACGAGTAAATAAATCGATTGCGATTGAAAATAATTGCGCATTTCAATCGAAATAGTTTTTATTTTCAATAAAATTGACATAAAGCAAACTATATGATTGTAAATATTGTAATTGTTTACGTCATTTTTAAGATAATTATAGAAAATATACGTCAATAAGTCAAAAACTTGTCAATCTAATATAATCAAAACTAAAAAGAAATCTATGACGTTTCTAATATAAAATTATTATTTATCTGAACATTAAAGATTAAATTTGATAAGAAGTAAAATTTATGAATTTACTTCTAGACAAATATAATTGGACAATTTTTTCATTTACATTAAAAAGACATACATATATATGTTTCCTTTTCTCGTTCATTAAAAAGACTAGAAAACTAGACCATATTAGGCAAGGTCAACATTTATCAAGGACTAAATAAAATAAGGTAAATATATAAATCTTGTTCATGTCTGTTGCTTGAAAGTAATTAGATTAACCTTGGTTTTAATTAATAAGTTGATTAATGTTTATATCTTGGGAAAATGATACACAGAAACATGCATTATCTATAAAACTATATATACATATATGTTTGCACATAAAAAATATATCAATTTGATATGTGATTTAATCTACGATTTCGATGAAGTCGTTTAATATGATTAAAATACATAATAGGAAGTATAATTTCGAATTATGTCTTAATCAATGACCAACACATAATCTTATTTCAGTAACATCCTGTCAGATTTGATAACTACTGTGTTTATTGTGCTTGTTTTTAAATCTAGACGAATAATTAACTAAAAATGAAGTGAACCATCACTAGTCGAAGAAATTTCACTTGCTTGTTTATATGCATTATTCTAGTATCCTAAAAAGAATGCGAGTTCAATGTATGCTATAAAGAATAGTGTATATATCATATCTCAAAAACACATGACACTCATCATCAATATAAAATGAGCTTTATGGGAGCATGTGTATTATTGAAAATGAACGAATCATATAGTCTATTGATCGATTGGTACAGTTAAAATGAGTATATAAGCACTTCATTATTATTATTATTCTTCATTTTAGTATAGTCAAGTTTTATTGTTGACAATACAATTTCAATTTGTGAACAAATTATTTTTAATTAGTAATACGAAAATGGAAGAAAATATCTGTTCATATCCAATATATCAACAACAACAACAGGACGAGTATGATCTAATGAATTTGTAAATTGTATTCAAAAATACGATCCTGTTTTCCTTAGTTTTCTTCAATCGCCTGTATACAATAGTAATATAATGACAACGGATGATACATGGCAATTATCTTCATTAAATAATCATAGTAATTCGAATCAGTATCATACAATGTACAATAATCAATTGGAATATCAATCATCAACATCATCAAATATTTCACCAACATATCTGATCGATCCAAATCGTTTTTTATTTACAAATAATCAACCGTCTGATGGATATTTTATTCAATCAATGGATGATATAACAGATTCATATCAATATTCCCATCCAATGTATACTGAAGCAAATATAGATACTTCATCATCATCAACATGGAATTTCGAAACAACAAAAATACCTGATCATAATAGTATGTATATACAATTATAGTGTTCAACATTCAAAAATGAAAAACTAATCATGTATTTATGAATCATGTATAGTATTTTATTGCTGACTAATAGATTAGAACTAAATCTCTCTTTTGCAATCATGCTATAAAGAAAAATGATACCTTGAACAATAAATCTATGACTTTTTCTTTCATTCATATTCTATTTTAATGAATAGATTCAAACATTAAAGTTCAACATTCTTATGAACTTCCATTAATTGATATAACAAAATCAAATCGACAAGATTGTATGGTACAAACAAAAACTACATCACAGCCGGTGCTAATACCAATAAATCATTTACTTGAACAATTGACTCATGATCTTACTCATAATCAATTATCAACATCATCAGCATATGAAAATCTTCTTCATTTACTTGATCTACCATCAATTATTTCAATTAATTTTGATTATTATTCTCTATATATGAATGCAATTCATATCTGGAGACAACAGTTCAGTCAATATTCTTCAGAATTATTTACAAATATATTATTCAATAATAAATTTGCTGTGATTCTTTTTCTTTTCTATTCAATTATGTTCATAAAAGAAAATGAATCAATAACTAATATTAATTTTCATAAACTTATTAATATTCTACAACAAGAAATCAATCATATAACTGGTATCGATTATCGATTCGCTTGTCGAATTAAAGCTTTATTTATGAAATGTTATATTACACTTGCTCAATATTATCCAAATAGTAATTATAACTCTTAATTTATTCTTCCATATTAACAATAATCAATAGTAACGTTTTTTTTCTTTTGTATTATATTTGAAAATAGTAAAATATCTGTTCGTAATGTAGAAAAAAATATAGTAATAATGATTTTCTTTTGCAAATATACTTAGATTCGATTATATGATGTTTCACTATTTTTGTTGAATATGTCGTTATCTATTCACTATGCGTTGTGAAGATTTAAAGGTCATATACATTCTATAATGTTTCCTATTGAAAAAATAAATTATTTTTGAATCAAATGAAAACAGTAAACTCTGTATCATGCAAACTTTCGAGTAATTCCATGTTGCTGATTATTTTTATAGAAGAAAGTTAAAAATAAATTTTAATTTTGTATTTCGTCTATTATTAAAAACAAGTGTAACTTTATGACACAGTAATTCAATAAAAATTAGAAATAAAGTATCTAATAGATTTGTATTTAATTGCAATAATAATAAATAGTGGGAAGAACAGGAAAAAAAAAGTAATATTTTGTTATAATCGAAATATATTACAAACGAACAAACCTGTTAATTTCGATAAATAAAAGGGTGTCGAAATGTTATTTTTGATTGATATTTTTCAATGACAATTAATGTTTGAACTATTTATATGTCAAATTTCGCATATGATAATAATTATATTTCATTTTTAAATCATAATTATTTTCTTTTTTTTATCTTCGCTAAAATAATGATAATTATAAACAAGCTTTCAATAGATCTCTAGTTTTAATAAAGTTTTACAGATGCTACATACTATAGCAAGTTAAAAATCAACATGAGATAATTATGTTGATGATTTTCGTTTTTCAGGGAAAAAAGAATCGAACACATCATGCTTGAAAGCACAGCATATATATATATATTATTTTATATGTAGCCTTGGCATTGACATAGGTATTGTCTGTAAATCATATTATTTACAATATGAATTATTTTTTATTATTATATAATTGATGTAAACGAGTCATATTATCTGTTGTCCTCTAGAAAGACTCTATTGCAATTAATTTATTAATTTTTTTTCCTAAGAATATTAACATTTAAAACTTATATGAATTTATTGTATTTTGGAAAATATTTTACGAAATAGAATACCTTCATCAGTTATAAGTTACTGAATTTGATAAAAGAATCTCAAATATATGATATGAGAAGTTTCATTATAAAGTTATAAATATTTATATAATCTACGTAGTTTTCAAAAAATGATATTTGATATTTTTTCTTTACATCGCAGTTTATTTTCACAATGATAACTAATTATTAGTAATATGAAATGATGGCGATTGATGACTTTTTTTTTGAAAAACAAATCATGAAATGTTAACAAATGACGGAACCAAATTCTGAATCATGTATTATTTATGTAAACAGACCATAGATATGAAATATGTTTCATATACATCGAACCATTATGCTTGAATGACTCTTAATTAGTTTCGTAAAATGGAAAAAACCTCGACATATTGACTATGTCACGGCTATTTTGTCTGTCATCTAATTTTCTTGAAAGAAGAATGACATCAACAATTAGTAAGAAGATTTTATTCTTCACTTAGATTTGTTAAACTATCATTGTGATTAATGAGATAACAGAAATCATGCCTTGTCTACATTTTTTTTGTATTACGTATTCGTTACGTTTGATCAAGTATTTAACAACGAACAAAAGAGATATGAAACAAGGGGTATGAGTGATTGTATATATTTTTTATTCCTTCGTTTCGTCGTATATATTTTTTTTTCGATGTTGTGCATTTTCTACTGTCTTTTTCGGTTACTCATTTAGATGCGGTAACCTGTATATTCTTCTATGTCTTTTTCGTTCTCTATATTTCTCACGTTGTAATGATCAGCTATCGACTGTAAACAACACATTTCAGAGGTTGTTATTAGTATTTGTCGCCAATTCATCACTACACATCAATGTCGAACCTTATGAGAGAATAAAAAACGTCGAATCAATGACGCACATGACAACAACTACCTCTACTCCCAATGCGACAGCCATGGGTAATGGGAATAAAAAGGGTATGGCAACTTCATTCTCTGCTGGGGATATAGATAGACATGGTTCAAAACTTCTGGATAACAAAGATGTAACAAAATGGACATCAGTCGAAGTACAACATTGGATCAAAGAACAATGTAGAAATTATGAATTGAAAAAGGCTACAGCTGAAAAGTTTGAAATGAATGGTAAGTGAAATATCATTGATATAACATAATTATAGCCTTTTTGATTATTATTATCTATTTAGGTCAGGCTCTAGCATTGCTTACCAAACATGACTTTCTTAGACGTTCACCAGACGGAGGAGAAATACTCTATTATTCATTACAACGACTAATTAGTTAGTGTAAAAGTTTACATCGTTCTTTTTTTTTGAATATAATTATATTTTAGATCCAAATAAAGGAGATTCAGTTCGTCTTGATCAAAATGGATTTAAGAATGGATCACACAGTCCACGACCTAAAATAGTTGAACTTAGTCCTGATGATGAAGAATCTCACAATGAAGTAGATGCCTCATCACCAAAGCCAATTATTGAAGAACCTGATGATCCACCCAAAATTCGAAAATCACAGTCACATACACCACGCAATAATTTTCATCACTATCCACCTCATGGTCATCCCTTATTTTTTAGTCAGGGACACGTTGCTCCAGCTGTAATGACAATGCCTGCAGGTACTGCTGCAGCATTTTTTCATACACATCATCAACAACAACAACGGCGACAAGGAATTCCTGAAGAATTTATCCACGCTCAGCATCCAAATATACATCCAGGACATGTTTTGCATCCACATCTATTTCAGCAATATAATCCAATGATGACTGCTCGAGGAATATTAATCGAAGTTATGGATGATGTAGATCCAACGCAATTCAGTTCAGACGGAGCTAATGGTGCTCCATTCGATGCTAATGAAGGAATCTTTATGGTTTCAATTAATGGACAACGATATGTCATGAACGAATCACAAGTAAGACAATTGGTTACTGAAGTTTATCAACAACAAGCTTATCAAGAAACTCAACAGCAACAACAACAACAGCAACATTATCAACAGCAACAACAATATTTTCAACAGCAACAGCAACATTATCAACAACAACAACAACAACAACCACATCCACATCCCCAGCCTCATCCCCAGCCCCATCCCCAGCCCCATCCACATTATCCACATCAGCAATATTATCCACATCAACAACAGCCACAATATCCACCACATGCACAACATCCACAACGTCCTGTCCTAGATCCAAGGTTTCCACAACATCCATCACCAACAGCCCCACCACCGCCAGCACCACAACGTTTTTAATAACTGTATTTCTTTTGCTAACAATCGTCACAAGACGAATTGTGTTATAAATTATAACATGTGTAGGCTTTCTTCTTTTTCATGACAAACAAATTCTAATGATTGAAAATATGCAAATTTTGCACGAGATGAAATAGGATCATTTCACTTGCATTTTCTCATTTTTGTCCTTTTCTTTACTACAAACAAATCTGATTATGGATGATGTTGTTGTCGATCCCAATGATTTACTTAGGCAGTAAGCAAATGATTAACCTTTATCAACAAATTCTTTTCTTTCAGTTGTATTTTTAATGTATGAAATAATCTGCTTTCAAATAATAGAAAATAACAGTGAGTTTTATAATTAACTTCAGAAAAAAACAAATGAATATTACTTTTAATCAATTACGAGATTTTTATTACTATGACATATGGTGGAAGGATAGCAATAAAATTTTTTTTATGAATTAGCTAAAAATTATCGAGATGTTAAGTACAATGAAACAGCATACAATTTCTCTCAATAAAAATCAATTTCAGTTAACATATTTACTTGTAAGTTATAATAAATGCAAATTATATGAAATAGTCAATGAGAAAAAACAATATAATACAAAAGAAAGAATCAAAAGAAAGATTTATATAATAAGACAAAGAAATGTGCATTTTATGACTTTTTATTAGAAAGTGAAGATAACAATTTGAAGGGTATCATTATTATAATGAACATCTTACAGACAGGATATTATTTTCATAATCATTTATAAATAATATCGCTAGATAAGAACTATAAAATAAGAGTTATTATTATGGATCATTTCAGAGATACAAATTATATATTTATATCAGTAAAAACGGATTAAACAGAAATAGCTTCCTGTGTGCCTTATCATAATTTATAGATTTAGTAAGATTTTGTTGACAGATAAATTTTAATAGCAAGATAACGTAAAAATAGATTTTCTTCAAAAAGTATACTGTACGAACTTGATTTGATTTTTAAATTGTCTGTCGTTAGAAGTACTTTTGACAAGACGGAAATGGAAAATTACGAATAGGCCATCTTAATAAATTTCAGAAAAGACAACTATTGATTATTGTCTATTATTCATTAACTAGATTTTTCTATGAGAACTTAAATAATAAACTATTATTCTAGATTCGATTCTGTATCTCGTGCTCAACGATCACTTTTTGCTGAATTCGAACGTCAACGTAGTCGTCTCATTCAACTTGTTCGTTGGTATGATCATCAACAAACAGCTCGTGGCACAGAATTACGTCGTCAATTTGAACAAGTTAATAAAGAAAGTCGACGACAAATATATCACCGATCAAAGATGACTATTAAAGAACGTTCTCGTTTGAAACATATTCTCGATGATGATGATGATGGTAAAAATCATTTATTTTCAATCAATCATTCTAGAACTTGTATTCATAGAGAAAATCCTACAGATGAAAAAAAACGTCAAGTTTATGGTTGTTTATTACCACAATTCAAAGCTCCATTAGAAAAAAGTTATGATAATTGGTCACAAGATTTTTTCTCTAATCGATCTGAATATCAAAAACGTCTTGAAAGACAACAATGGTTAATTAATAAATATACACAATCACCAACAGAACAACGAAATCGTATGAATATTATTATTGATAAATGTTTAAATGAATTAGTAGAATGTGATAGTGATGGTTATGATCATTTTCTTCAAACAAGTGAACCAAATCGAAATGCACAAATACTTGCACAACAAAATATTAAACATAAAAATCAAAATAATATTAAATAAAAACAAAACTAGTTTTTTTTTCTCAAACATAAATATACATACAACAAGATTTTTTTTATACTCTAGTTCATATATTTAAAATTGTATTAAATAATTACAATAACGACTTGAATAATACTAAATGATTTTAAGTTTAATTCGATGAACCATAAGCAACATTATCATGTTGATGAATGGAAGCTGTTTGACTTTCTTCAAGTTCATTAGCTTTCTTCTTATTTAGTAATAAAATTGTAGAACCAAATGAAATAAAACTAATGAAAAGAAAAAAGATTGATGTTGGAATGATTGCTTTATAACTTCCTGTCATATCAAGCAATAATCCTAAAAATAAAATATATATCAATTTGTTGTTTTTTTTTGTTATTTTCTCAATTCATACCGCCAACTACAGGACCAACAATTGTACCTAAACTTGTAATAATAACATGATAGATATAACCTTGTTCTGTTCTATCCTCTTCAAAGATTCGATTCGAAACTGTATATTGAAGTGCTGTTACAACAGCCGATGTAAAACTAAATACTAGAAATAAATTCAATAAAATTATTAATCAAATTTTCCAAAATTAACTTACATAGAATTGGCAGAATTGCTAATGCATTTAAACTTGTATATAGTAGACCAAATGTTAGTGTTAATACGATAAGACCGGTGAATATACTTGCTGGAAATAAATAAATAATATCAATTGGATAAAATCGAATAAGAACTGGTATTGATAAACGAAATAATGCATCAAATAGACCATGTAAACGAAACCAAAGATCAGCTCGTGCAGGTGATATAAGTAAATATTCCAAATGACTATGCTTAAAAATTAAGAAAAAAAGTCAATTTATATTTTGTAACAAACGACTTTTACACCTCTTTTCTTTTCTCTACAAAAACGTTTTGAATAATAATTATAAAATATATAATTAATATAATTGTTTACACTTTTTAAATTTTAGAAAAATTCTTTCTTTTTTTTAGCAAAAACATACCAGATGAAGAAGAAAATTATTTATTGCACACATAGCTGAAAATATTCCTAACATCCAATAGATAATTGGTTTTGAATAATAAATTTTTCGAGTATTCTCTGGAATAAGTGGTAATGATGGATATTGATATCCTTGTGATGTATTTGGTAAACATTTTGTTGTAAAAAATGGACCAAGTACACATGCAACTAATATTTCAACCATACCAACGCGTCGTTGCATTGCTTGCCAACCATCTTCTCTGATTGCAGAAAATATAAATGCACTCATTATATGATAACCCATCGGAAATCCAGTTGAGATAATGCACATGACAAGTATATGTTTTGGATGTTGTCGAGCTGGATAGTAAAGGCCACAAATTAATGTACCGAGAATGAAAATTGCTGCATTAGCAAAACCGTATGGCAGTGAATAGGTTAAGAAAAGCCAACGAATATTTTGAACAAGCGATGAAATAAATAAAGAAATGACACAGAGAACGAGTGAAATAATGAATGATAATTGAAATCCATATCGATGAGCACAAAAAAGTATTAATGGTGCAACAATACCTCCAAAACTTTGACCAACACTACCAATCCAACCTAAATTTTTTATCGTGTTTTTTTTTATTGACTAAAATTAAAATTAAATGACATACTCATCTCTGTATCCGATAAAGTCGAATTTTCTTTTTTAAATTCGACAATAACAGTGCCATAACTCCAACAAAATCCAACGAATACAACTCGACTTAGAAATGTTATTAAAACAATCAAAATACCATAATGATTTCGAAGTGAATCAAGATCCTAAATTTCAAAAAACACAATATGAGAAAAATCCTCTTATAGATAACAGTATTAATTTTTTTTGATCATAATCAAATAATATAAATACCGAACATCTGTCGTTTCCTTTCTTTTTGTTCTCATAATTATATCTCGTTCAAACACTTTCTCACATAATTTTTTTAAATTGATTTCTCTACTGAAGTGAAAAAAATAAGAAAGAGATTATTTTCTAAATATATCTCTGTTCAATCTTAGAATAATTATTAATGAGAGAAAAGCATCAGCAATTGTCATCAATCAATTTAATCCCATAGAGAGGTGTTTTGATATAATAAACTAACATTTTGTTATTTTTATTCCGATAAAGATATAAAAAACACGATACATACCATTTTTCTTTTTGTCTTCGCGTTTTTTAGTCCGATATTTCTAATGATGCTTATGTCTGTTTAACTTGAGCACATAATAACAGTAACATAGAACAGAAAAAGAAACGCTTTCCGCATACTAATATATAGAACTAGTTTAGTTGTTCTTTCTTCGATCACGCCGTCGGGAATGAGCAGCAGCAACAGGAGAGAAGGAAAAAAACGCAGAAAAAAAGACGGAGGCGGATAGCTATGCTTATTTTTCCCTGAGCGTTCTCAACAACAATAAAAAAAAGAACTATGCTAAGAAACATCAGTTTGATAGATTGATAGAGAAATCATCATCCGAGAATAATCATTAATATAAATTCAAATAAAAAATAATTTTCATAATAAACCTTTAGTTTTCTTTTTTCTTCTTTTTCTACTCTTGTTGTTAATCTATGTGTCACAACTATTGACTCGGTGTTACTCATGCGTTCTTTGTATGCACATCCGGAGACTCATAAAACATCAATATTTATGTACGTGAATAGATTGTCAATTATTAATCAAAATTTTTATGAAAACTTTTTTATTATTTTTCTACAATCATAAATAATATATTGAATGATTACATCATATTTCTTTTCAATTGATAGATCTAACCACTTGAATGCAATCTTAATTCTTTGAATTCTTTCCTAGTTTTCTCAACAAACAATTTATTTGACAGTCTAGACTTACTAACAAGAGAGGAAAACGTCATAAACTAACAGAAGAATTTTTCGTATGCATAATTACACACATTAATTGTATATAGACATGCTCGTTAATATTATAGAATTATAAATAAAAGAAACATTTATGCTTGAAGGCAAATAATTATCAAATATGTTTTAGAGAAACGATAAAACTTATTTCCATAAGTGTTCGTTTTCGAAATAAAGATAAATTGACATATTTTTATAGAGTCTGATCACGATTTTGATCTTATTGATCATGCAAATCAATTTACTAACTTTGATTTATGCATGAATACTAATTTATTTTTCATGCTAATGTAATGATTTTTATTGTTTTCAGTAAGTAGATAGAAAATAATTTAATGACTGATAAACATTCTCTAGAATTAACTTAAAACAAACCAACTAATGATGAAACTAATACTGGTAAAAATTTTGATACGACATAGATATAATAAGGAATGCAATAGGAAACTTACATTATTTCTATTTTTATACATAAATAATTGGTAAAAAGAAGACAGAGAAAGTTACACCAAGTAAGACTTCCTATCATATTTATAGGAAGTAAAGCACAATCGCTATATACTCTTCTAATAATATAATATGGCTACTATATGTTTTGATAATTTAAAATACATATGTGACTAATACAAACGTTTTGTATAGGTTTTTCATATATGGAATATGGAGTAGTATTGATTTTCAATACTGAAAACAACATTAAACAGAATAAAATGATGAGAAGAAATAATTTATTGTCAAAAAAAAATTAAAAATATAAGTTGTAAGGATAATAGTCAGTTAAAACCATTTCAAATGTAATTAATGGCATTTTTGCTTATGTTCTTCAAATTTCTGTGTAACAATACGCTGTTGACAATTTTGACAAAATTGACAACATGCCACAAAATGTCGGACGTTAGGATCTGTATGGCACACACAAGTACAGACGTCTTCCATAATACCAAGTATTTGTGAATAAAAGTAGGTTTTTGCCTATGTGGATCAATAATTTATACGCAATAAAATTACGCTTGATTGCTTTTCGATTAAACCAATCCGAATATACAAAACAAAATAATAACAAGATACTGATATATGATTTATTATTAAACAAATACAGATATACATTAATATGACGCAAAAGAAAACAATTCTTATGAAAAACACAATAATATTATATATTGATTAAATTCGAATATATAAAAAAGAAAGGCAATCGTATATACACAGATACCATTTAAATAATCATCACAAGAAAGAAAATAAGAAACAAATCTTTTACTTAAATAAGTTCATAAATATTTTTATCTTCATTATCATAAGTTGTTGGTGAATAAGCAATAGCTGTTGAATAAAGTGGTGATGCTAGTGGAGTAAAATCATCATCATTTGAATTGATAATTGATATACTACTTGATGATAGAGAATTTGTTGTAATTAGTTCAAATTCATTCGTTGAACATTTATTTGTTGGCGTTCTATCAACGGAAACAGTGAGCATAGGTGGATCAAGTAATATAAAATCATTATTTGTTGAAGATTGTGGTTTATCATCTCTACAAAAAAAATTCAATGCTTTTTTTTTTCAAAAATAAAATCCGTATTTCTTACCGTAGTGATGGATAAGTTATTTCCTGTGTTTTCATATTTATTAATCCGAATGAAAAATGACGCCAATTGGGTTTATTTTGACTTATAGGTTTAATTGATGATATTATATAATTATATTCTCTTGGTATACATTTTCGTATATGATAATATCTGGAATTAATTACATGTGGTCTTGAAAGAATAATTTGATCTAAATAAATAAATTTATTTTTAAATATTTTTATTAAGTTTAATCTTACCAACACTATCATAATCCATAAAACGTATAAATGCATAACCTGTTTGTTTAGAATTTTGTGAATAAGAATTAAATACACGACAATCAATTATATTTCCAAAGGATTGAAAATAATTTACAAACATATCACGTTTTTCTCCGGAACATAAACGACTAATAAATATTTCAGTAACTGTTAAATTTATTCCTAATTGTTCAGATAAATTATTCGTATTATTTCGATTATGATTTGGTATTGCACGTTGAATATGAATTTGTCTATTATCAATAAAATGTGGTCGTTTTGACATTAAACTATTTACAGAATGTATATCTTTATAAATAATAAAACCTTTACGTAATGATTGATCTTGATCATCTTTATATAAATATAATTCTTCTATGTAACCATACGTTGAAAAATAATTCATTAAGATTACTTCAGTTGTTTTATAAGATAAATTTGAAAATAGAAGTTTTTTACCGAGATTTGACGACATTGGATTAGTGATGATAATTTACTAGAAATAAGAAGAAAAGAAGTGTTTATTGAATATATGATGAAATAAATTACTTTTTTTAACGAACTTAACTGATGTATGGACAAAATCGATATAAAATGTTTTATAGAAGAGATGAATGAATAGACGCGATTAAAAGAGAAATATGAAGGAAGAAAATATATATGCACAGTCTCGTCTAGCCAGTATATGTTTATGTATACATTTTTTTCTCTTTTATGACCATTTAGACAACGATGGTATATTCAGATAATCAAAGACGACGAATAAATTCAATAAAAGAATACAATAACAATAGAATTAGTTGTTAAAGTAAAGAAAAAGAATGAGAGATTGAAGTTGTTAAAGTAAGTCTTATTTAGATCTTTATCTTTCGAAATGAATTAAGATTAATATCTTGATCTTACAATTTAAAAGAAAATTGTCACATTTGCTAATAGAAAATAAATGTGTGTTTTTTTCAATGCAAAAAATAGATGAAGTTGCACAATTTCAATTAAATCAATAGTCATATATCTTCTTTCTTGTTATGATTATATATAAAAATGTACATTATATAGAGAATAACTACGTGGGTTATTGTATTGTATTGTATTGAGTAGACTAATTATGTATATTGTGTTATAATTAACATTCACATAAAGAATGAGAATTATCTGACCAATCAATTATAGTGATGAAAAAAGAAAACATAACATTATAACTGTCTCGACTTGAGCTATTCAATATTGAATTTTCTAGTAAAGATAAAATATTGCTACTTTTTACTCGACAGTTATTTATATATAGTCAGAAAAACGAGGGATCATCAAAATAAACATTACAAAGAAAATAACATATGTTTTTGTCATCATT